ATGTAATTTTCTCTGTAGCACTTCATGGATTTCATAAGCAACACACCTTAGTTGTTCACACAAAGCATAAAGGTAAAAAACAATATATACAGTGTTATCTTCATTTTAGATGTCAAAAAGTATTTGCGGCTCCCAGTGTTTTCTTTTGCGTGGAAACCGGGTCCAAGTGGCTCTTTAGGTGTTAAAGGTTGCTGACCCCTGGTCTAGCCCAATGAGTGGTAAAAAAAAAAAAATGCAAAAATATATACACATGTGGTTGTGCTGAAGATAATTTAGGATTGACATTTGGCAGACTAAAAGCAGTTAGAACCGGGCAAGTCTCCTCGAGAAAGACAATGGTGTCTGAGGGATACTAAAAAAAACAGCTGGAGGAACATTTTGCAACTAATTAGGTTTGTTGGCAACAAGTCAGTAACATGATTAAGTGTAAAAAGTAAAACTTAGAGAGGCAGAGTTTCTCAGGAGAAAAGATAGGTTGGCAGAAAACTGTCCACAAATGATTGAATAATTTATATAATAATTTCAAAATAATGTTCCACAAAAACAACAACAAAAAAACCCCTCACACAATATACATATATACACACACACACACAAGTGTGATTAGGGAGAGTGGAAACACATGGGAACACAGCTGGGACGAATGGACATGACGATACAAGGAAAGCAAAACAGAGGGAGAAAGAGAGGAAGTGAGAGACACTGAAGGAGAGAGAGCGAGAGGGACACAGAGAAAACGAGAAACATGACGGGCTGGGGAGACATGGAACATGTCATTAATTAATTTAGACATTTGACATAGATATCGACTATTTTAAAATAATTTCACAAAAGCCATTTCAGGATTTAAATCTATTATAATAAAAGACTGCAAAGCACAAAATCATTACAGTACACATCCTATCTGCAAACACTGGAGTTTCATTCTGATAGGTCTGTCTAGGCACAAACCTAATGCTGGAACAGCTGAGACGATTCTACTACAATGGCAAAAGCACACACCAGACACCAGAGCTCTCTGTGTGATCTCGTGCACGAGGGAGAGGGAGACGACCGAGACGAGCGCTGTTCCTGCCGCTCAAACCCCAGTCACTCTCAGTCAGCTCCCCCGTAACACTGCTCTTTATTGAGGTTACATGAATATTCATGGATAATTAAAATATGACATCTTACACAGGCATACGTGTGGGTGGGTGGGTAGGTGGGTCAAGATGTGACCCTGTGAATGACTCCCAAAAATCTGAGGGGCCTGGAAGTCCAGCAGTTCACCTAAACAAAAGGCACTTATACACTTATACAGATGTGTTTACCATACCATATATCAGAAAGAGAAGGTACGACCTCTCTCATGACCTTAGGTTAGGACATGTGTGGTATGCCAGAACACTCAGGAAAAGAGGAGTGAACGTACTCCTCTTTTTTATGGTACACAAAGCCTTTGCAGACTATTAAGGATCAGACATTCTATCATTCTGCAACTGATTATATACCTCTAAGCATATATGAGTATATGTTTCAAGGCATAAATGACAATCATAAAATGTAACTCTGACACATTCCTTTGATTCAACCGTTATTTTCTATCGATTTGAATCTATCTGAAGTACATTAACTGTGTTTTTCAAAGGGTCCATGAAAATACTGGGCAGTTTAGCACAAAAGTGATTAGTCTGTTACAGTTTAAGGAAATACGTTTAACTGGTGGAACAGAAGCTGTGTTGTTCATGGTCATTGTTAGGTTACTTCATGAGCAGCAGAGATTAATTTGAATTCATAGGGTCACACTGAATTCCACATTGATGTCATCTTTATACTGCTCGGGAGTTAGATATCCACGAAGAACATTAAATTATGAAGCAGCAGCACAACTCAGCTGACCCCACAGAAATAAATTGGATTTATTGCTACATGATTCTTTTCTCCACACTGAACCACTATAGTTGAGCATTATGTTAGTTGCTAAATCCCACTAAAACCCCTGACTATACAAATTTTCTTTCAAATCTGCAACAGCTATTTTTTCATTTCCTTTCTTTGTTTTTGTTTTGTTTTTTCTGCTTGTGTTTTACAAAACAGATCTTCAAACTGAGTAAAACAATTATAATTTAGGATGAAATAAAGTTTCTATTCCTACACATATTACAGCTTTAATAACGCTCCACTTTTATTCATTCATTTATTTATTTATTTATCTGTAGTATGTCTTATGTGTAGTCACCTAGATTTCAAAATAAATATACAGCTACAAAAACGTATTAGCATAACTTATTAGTATACAAATTCATCCTTACCTTGTATTTTACATGAACACGGGCATAAAACAGCTCCAAAAAACACTATGCGTCTGGAAAAATGAGCCACTCCCTGTAAAACAGGATGAGGAATTACTGCAACTTAGTCCTTGTTCATCCTCATATCATTCCCCCGCTTTCCTCCGTGGGACGGACTAAGAGAGGAGTCGAAAAGAGTAATCCAGGATGTGCATCCACGGTTATTTTCCGATGTCTCCATCAGATGTCAGGGTGGAGCTAATAATTCTGTCAGTAAACAGTGAAAACGTTTGAGGGAAAGGGGAGTTTCTGTGGGTCGTGAAATAGAAGCTTCAATAAGGAAGCTCTGTAATCATTCATCCGTCTGCTTTCCTGGCTGTCCGGCTGCTAGTCTGTCCTTTATTTCATTACCTGTTTCCCACGCTGTCAAACTCAGTACTGTCATCATTACTGTAATGCAATCACATTGACAAAATGTGAGAGGTTATAGAATAAAATGATAAAATGTGTGAATAACCATTCATATCACAAAAGTTATCTTCTAATTCTCAGTTAAATTACACTGAAAAACAATAACAGTAATAATATACTCAATTTGTAAACCAAATGTTTTAATGCATGTATAAGAATGTTTTTGTAAGTGTATATCATTTTAAATTGTTTTAAGGATTTCATGTAATAACAAATAACAACAAAAAAGAGTTTTTTTCTATAGAAAGCAGGTTTAAGAGATTGAAATTTGTATTATTTTGTATTATTATGTTTTTTGGAAACATAAAAGATAAAGCCTCGCATCCTTTTTTTCAGATAGTGGCACTGTTGTTTTGCTCTGAGGGAAAAGGTATGAAAATAAATAACAAAATTAAATTGTAGGACAATTTAGGATGGAAGGTTGTAGTATCATAATTTGACACTAGTTTGTTTTTCATTTTCAGACCAGTCCTTCTACCTCAACATTTTCAGAGGATATCCTTTCTTTTCTTGCTTTAAATTTAGTTAAGCTACTTAATACTTGACTTGTGAATAATTCAAGTATATAAAAGGCATCTAGTTCGAGGGATGAACAAGTGTTGTGTTGACACATAACTGAAAAACAGGCACAAAAACATATTTTTTTTCATATCTCTTTAGTCTCTATGAAAAATATCATTAAAACACAGTATGATAGGCATCAATTTGTATTTTTGAACAGGGATTACCTAAGAACCGCCAGAAACCTGAGATATTTCAGCATGGTGTGGAATTTGAAGATCTGAAGGACAAAAGAAGTGTCAGACCTAAAAACTATCTACAGCAGATGCGCAGTATCTGAAAGCAATGTCCTTATGAAATGGGTACAGCAAAGACCTGACACAGGACCTGAGAGACGCAACTGGCCTTTCAGATGATCTATCTACTGTTCTCTGAGGCTTCAACAGAAGTGGCCTGAGTAGAAAGGATGTTATAAAGAAGCCATTCATAGGGTAAGGGAAACAGAGAGAAAAGGCACA